GAGTCCTGAGGGGATGGCGGGGGGGATGGGACACAGACAGGGAATCCTGAGGGGATGGCTGGGGCGATGGGACACAGACAGGGAGTCCTGAGGGGATGGCCGGGGTGATGGGACACAGACAGGGAGTCCTGAGGGGATGTCTGGGGCGATGGGACACAGACAGGGAGTCCTGAGGGGATGCTGGGGAGAGCCAAGGCAGGGCCGCACCAGCATCAGGGACACAAGTGTCCAGAGGAACAACTTCCCTAAACTGAAAATCCACCCCTGCACTTCAAACATGTCTCACAGAAATCAAATGTCGTGGTAGAGGTGAAGTGTTTTGTTTTTGCTGAAGGGATGCCAGGGCCAATAAAATGTTTGGTGGTTTCCTGCCTAGCAAAAATTATGGAGAGGTTTGAACAACAAAACTGATGGAGCACAAAGGCAGAAACATGTAGTACCTTGGGATACTGCGTAAGGGAAATTGCAACCACGTAGCCAAAACTGGAGCTGAATGAAAGGTCAGTGCTAGCATTAATAGGTTCAAGCCTCACACTAGCTGAAATGGCAGTAAGGGTAAGGTGTAAAGGATGTTACCCTGTGTAAATAACCCTGGAATAAAGTTCAGCTTGGTCATACAATTTAGTGGATTAGTAAACAAATTGTGAAGAAAAACAAGATTGAATCTGCCACAATGAACCCATCTCTCAACTGTTGGCCGGATAGACCTAGGGCCAGGGAGGATTTGTTTAAAGGAATGGTTGTTTTGGCTCCAGATACTCATATCATTTGGCTAAAGAAATAATGCTAAATATGTGTAGTAGTGATGACTTACCATTTTAAATAAAAGGATCCTGAACATAAACAAACTGCTCTGTTCACTAGCAGATTTAAGAGCATTATGGCAAGAGTTTAATAAATGGATTGCAGGTGGCCCACTTCCATGTTTACCTCATGGTGTTTGAACTTTCATAATGCTTCAGTGTTAGTAAACAGAATTCACAGGTAAAGAAATGTCACAATAGGATTTATTGCTGAGCATAACAAAGTGTTATGATCTTCCATTAGTGCAATACGATGTTATATGTACAAGTGCCTTGTGTAAGTAATACAGTATGTCTTGTCTGGAACAGAATTTATATTAAAAATTGCTCAGTGTTTTCAATCCTGACTCATCAAAGTCAGTGGTTTGGTTTTAATTGACTTTATTGGATGAAACCAGTGGATATTTTGGTTTTAATTGACTTTATTGGATGAAATTCTGTCTCATTTTTTACTCTTTTACTGCAACAAACATTCATGGATTTTTTGCTGTAGAAGGGACTGCAAGTTTGATTGGTTTATGACTGAGATGCACTGTATTGTTTTGCAAGTCTGAAGTTCGCAGTTTCGTGGTTTGCGTATTACTCCTTGATTTTGATAATCTGTTGAAACTGAAAGTCTGCATCCTTGTTTAGATCTTTAAAACAGTTTTGGATTATTATCAAAGGAAGTTGATAGTTTTGATATTTCTGACAAGCTAAAATGCTTACTTAATCGTTTGATCCCTCAGCTCATATCAGTAGCTCTCATCCAGAGAAAGAAAAAAATAATTCAAGTTTCAAAATTTTGTTGTGTTGTTTCTTGAGTTGCTGTTGCTCTCCAGGATTTATCTTGAAGACAGCATTCCTAAAAAAAGTCTACCTTTTTTAAAAAAGAAATTATTGCTTTAGTTGTTTCTAGTACACACTGAAGGCATAAATAATACACTAGTTACTTGGATATTGAAATCAAGAGTGCCCTTTCCTATCTGTTTTACTGTAATGCTGAGTTGAAAAGATTTGGGAAAGTTGTATTAGCATTGCTCACATGTTACCAAACTTTAAATGCTCCTTAATTTTGTGTTTTATTTGGGATGCTCCTATAATAGAGTTTGTTATCTTGTTGCCCTTGTAGCCTGTTCTTGATGCAAGCAAACTTGGTGCTGAGCTAATAACCAAGACTAGAGAGCTGAGGTTCCTGTTCCCTTGAAAACCAGCTTAATATAGCTGTAATTTATATTTATTTTTGTGAAGTCTGTAGAAAGTGAGAATGAATCACCGAGATACTCCTGTGAAAGGCCTGCAAAATGCTTTCTGTTGACTGGATATAAATGTAATTTTTTAGAAGCAGAGCACCTGGGAACATGGCCCTGCGAGAGAGAGAAACCAGCAGCAATGACAAGCAAGAACAGAACAGCAGTCGTGTTATTACAATTGTCTTCCTGGCACTCTTCATCGACTTGTTGGGATTTGCTCTCATCTTGCCATTGTTTCCTTCCATCCTTGATTATTACAGCCAGACTGAGGTAAGCAACAGAGAATCAGTCTGCTGAAAATGTTAGGTATGAGATCTTTAGGGAAGTATGGGAGAAAAATCCCTTGACTTGGGACAAACCAAGTAGTTGTAGGCAGAATAATAATATCCAGCACATTTAAATGTTTCATGGGCTGATTTTGTTTGTGAGCTTGCATGAGACTTCCCTCTTGCTTTTTCATTGAAATGAGGGATTTGTTTTGGGGAAAATTCAGGTCTTTCTTAGGGACTAGTCCTTGTAATTATCAGTGTATTTGTGACTTACACTGATCCACGTAATGGATCTAAGAAGCAAAGAAATAAGAGCTTTTACCCTATTTGAGTATTTCACACACTTGTTCCCACCCCCAGCATCATGTTCACTAGGTTTCAACATCCATTCTTAGCAGGGAACTGGCTGCTGGCCTGGGAACACAGGGCAGAAAGTTGTGTTGGTTCTCTGCTGTGCAGCTACTTGCAGTTACTTTTCTCCAGTGTTACTGGACAAGATGAAGATGTTGTCAGGGAAGAATTATTTTTGCAGCCCATACCTCTATCTCGCAGCCCCTTTATAACCACACTCCAACCACAGCTGTAGCCTTTGCCTTTTTTACAACCTCTCTCTAACCCTAACCATGGGCTCTGATCTCCAGGATATTCCCGCACTTCCAGTGTATTTCCTATAGCCAAGGTCTTCACCTTCTTTTCGTGGCCCCCTTCTTTTCAAGTCCTCCTCTTCTTTTCAGGAACCATTCTTTTTCGCACCACCCCTTCTTCACTGGCCCACAAGCCCCTGGTTCTCCCAGTCTAAATAGTATATGCGCAGAGGGATAGAGTGTGTCTTGTGTTGCTCTATTAATTGAAGGATTCAGGATGTGCCACTTTTCTTTAGTTCAGGTTTTAGCAAGTAGCATGGTTTAAAAAAGTTCAAATTCAGACATTTCCCCACCCAAACAGACACACCCAATTATCTGCTGCAATTTAAGCTATGTTTAGCCTATGACAACTGATCAACCAGGACATTTCCCAAGGAGGAGGGAAGGAATCCTCTAACGTTACCTCTAGTTCACTAAGCTCTGATGCTGTCTTTGAAAATAAAACAGAAAAACTGTCTTCCTGCTTCTATTTACCAGCTGTCTGTTTTGCAGGATGGATTCTATTTGTCGTTGCAACGTGGTGTGGACTGGTTTGCAGAGATGGTTGGGATGCCTCCAGAGCGGAAATACAACAGTGTCTTGTTTGGAGGTATGGAAATTAAGCAAACAAGCTAACAGACCCTCAAAAAACACAACACCCTGGTGTGTTGTTTTCAAGTTATTTGCAGTGTTGATGTGAGGAATGAGGAACAATGAGGAAAATTATAAGAAAACCAAAAAGCGTGCTTGCCTGTTATTAAATTTAGACTTAAATAACACAGAAAATGTCTCTCACAGTAGGCTATAAATGATTTTATTTTCATCACACTGATAGCAATGAAGAGATGGACAACCCCATCTCTGTCATTTGGAGACACCTAGGTAGGCAGGAGGAATGAGCCAACAGGAACCTTATGAAATTCAGTAAGGACAAATGCGAAGTCCTGCCCCTGGGAAGTAGTCCCTTGCAGCGATATAGACTGCGCACTGATGGGTAAGGAGCAGCTCTGTTACAAAGGCCGTGGGGGTCCTGGTGAGCAGCAAGCTGAGCGAGAGCCAGCCCTGGCAGCAAGAGCACCAATAGCACCTGGGCTGTATGAACAGAAGCAGAGCCAGTAGATTGAGGGAAGCTATTGTTCTCCTCCTCTCAGCACTTGTTAGACCACATCTAGAGCATTGGATCCAGTTTTGGCCCTCCAACACAAGACAGACAACCATAAACTGCAACGAGTTCAGCAGAGGGCCAGGAAGATAGAGGGTCTGAGCAGCCTGGGCTTGTTCAGCCTGGAGCTATTAGCACCCTTCCAATACCTGCAGGAAGGTTATTGAAAAGACAGTAAGGTATTTCACTGTGATGTGTGCTGGTGGAGAAGCAACAGGCATAAGTAGAAGCAAGGGAGGTTCAGACTGGAAATAAGGAGGAACTTTTCCACAGTGAGGATGGCCAGTGGAACAGGTTGCCCAGAGAGGTTTTGTAGTCTCCATCCATCCTCAGAGGCCATCAAGTCCTAACTGGAGGAAACCCTGAACAATCTGGTCTGACCTCACAGCTGACCCTTTGAGCAGGCAGTTGGAGTGGGTGACCTCCAAGGATCCCTTTTAACCTGAATTATCCTGTGATCTTGCCCAATTTGTTCTGCAGATTGCTGCAAAAATACAGGCCTGCTGTTCCTTATTGTCAGACTGTCAGCTGAGGGTCAGGAGCCTGCTGTGCTAGACGCTGCACAGAGTCACAGAAATTGCTCTCCCTTAAAAGTTGATCTGTATGTGATTGGAGACAAATCAGTAGGAAACATTGGAATTAGAAGCTTGTGAGTTGAAGTCTCACCTCCCCGCTGGGCAGCTATAGTGCAGTACTGCTTCTAAATCTCATTAGTTCTATTAAAAGCAGGAGACCTGCTGACTTGAAGGGTCCAGAAGCATGTGCTCTCAGTAGGACACTGGTGTGGGTGAGCTCCACTGGGAGCAGTGCAGGAAATCCAGCAGTATATATGTCATGTTACAGATCAGAGGCTCTTTTGTCTCCTTGTGATCTATAGAGTTGTGAGCAAACTGGGTTTTCAGAGTATGAAGATGTGAGGATGTCTGGGTTAATTTTAATTGGAAATATCTAGACCCTGTCCTTTTAGTGAGGTGAGGCCTCACCCAAGATAAGCAAAAGGCTTTTTAACAAAAAAAAAAGCAAAACTTTATTAGAATATGTGTGAATGTATTGTTACTATTTAAAGTAGGTTTTTTGGGTTTAACAGACGTTAGAAAGTTTATAAACAATTTTCCTCTTTCCCATGGTGTTCTTGCAGGAATGTTGGTTTCTGTGCTTATTTTCAGTCAGATTACTGACTTTGAATGGTAGAAAACAGTTTTCTTTAATCCCTTAGAAACTGCTTTCTGTCTCTACGAAGGCCTGACTGCATGCTTCCTCCTTGTTCCTTCTCTCTGTCTCAGACTGTTTAAACAAGGGGCTGGGAGCTCTCAGTCATGTTGAACTTGTTGCCTTTCCTTTTGCCTGATGTGTCCTGTACTCTTGGGAGTTCTGTGTCCCTTGACTTGGCTCAGTTGCTTTCAAGGGGAGGAAGAAATCTCCCTCCTCCTTACAGAGGAGTCCATCTGACTCCTTTTGAAAAAAATACAGCATCTAACTGGGAACTCGCAAATAAAGTAGATGCTGTTTGTCTCAGAAGGGAAGCTGGTATCCCTTGCTGTTTTCTCTCTGTGAGAAAAGTATTCAGAAGCAGTACTGAGTAGTGATGGGAATGTTCACTAATCACCTGGCAGCCACAGGCAGTGAGAGTGCAGACAAGGTGGCTGAATTAACCTGATATCTGTCACATTTGACTCCATCTCTTCTGTTGTCTTTGATGACAGCTTTTCTTAATGAGCCATCTAATCTGCTAAACCAGTAGAAAACCTTTTTTTTATTTTATTTTTTCCTGGATTAGTTTTCTGCCAGATTGAGTTGAATTAGCTCACTGGAGAGTTGACTGAGGCTGCAGAAGCGGGGAAGATGGACAAACTATCCTAGTTGTCCTCAGCTCCTGTCCGTCTTGTCTGATTGCACCTTAAATGGTTAGTGGGAAAGTTCATTATACTTGTGATGTTAAGCAGAGGCCACAGCAGTCTTCCTGCAGCCTTCATTCCTTCGTTGCCTTCATCTGCAACAAGAAACGTAGGTTTGGAATCATACTTGCAAGATCATCTTGTTGCTTCTCCGAGTGCAGGATATATTCTGCTCTCTTTCATCTTTGCTTAGACTGCACCCTCTTCAGGGCAGAAACCTTCCCTGCCCTTGTCAAGGCCCTGAGGGCACCAATACTTAGTTGCAGTGAGCAGCATTCACCCACACACTTTCTGACCGTTGATTCAGGAGCTGTATTTCAGCTCAGGCCTGGGTCTTGCTTGAGCTATATCATAAGTACAGCCTTGTCTCCAGGGCTGTCTCTGGCCCTGTCTCTTGGATGGACTTTGGACCTACATTGCAGGTGTCTGATCTTCTGAATTACCTATGTCATCTTGTTTACACTCCTTTCTCTGACCCTGTCTCCTGCTGGTCTTGACTGGACTCTCTAGATGGACCTGAAGTGTAACCCCTGCCTTGTCCAGGACTGTCAATGGACCCTGCTAGCAACACCCTGCTCTGCCCAGCCCATTCAGATTGTGTGGGACTGTGCCCTGGTTGGTGAGGGCACTGCCAGTGCTGTGGTCACACTCAGACCCCGGCCTGTTCCTCCATGTGGAACAGCCCTGCTCTTGCTGCTCCCTGGCTGTGGAGTGTTTGGCATGTCTGGGTGTTTTTACAATGCTGGAAATACAAGGAAGAAAACTTGTCTTTCATTAACATAAACCTCCTGTGTACCAATCTATAAGATTTTTTTACATTTTTTTGAACTTTTGAGCTATCACAAGCAGCTGCTCTTCCCAAGGTGTTCAGTGTAAATATTCTGCCTCCCTCAGATTTGATGGGAGCAGAACTTCTGGTCTCTCCTCTGTCTTTTAAAGCTTTGATAGATGAATGATCCAAGACGTATAACCCAGTTTTTCCTTTAGAGAAAAACTGTGACAGCAAGGCATTTTTTGTCTGCTTATTGAGAGTGTAGTGCAAATTAATAAGTGTGTGAAGCTAGAAATGGCAAGAGAAAAGAGGAATTAAAGATCACAGAAACTGGTGGCAGATTTCAAAAGACTCTTGGAGTCTTTTGGAATCCCTCCTACATCTTAGGGTGTCTCACTAACAGCAGTGCTTATGTCCTTCTTTCCATGATAAGAAGGAAAGAAAAGCTAATTAAGCATGACAGAATCAGGCTCAAAAAGTCAAATCTTAAAAGAACTGGAACTATTAAAGACTCCATTATCTCTGCTTTTGGAACAGAAAATGTATGTAGTCAGCTGCGGAAATATTGGAGAATCATATTCCATTATAACCAGTGAGTTTCAAACCCCTTCTCTCCAGTGAAGTAACCAGTGAATCATCCAGTTTATGCCTGTTCTAATTCATCTGTGTATCTGTTCTGTCTGTATTTGCTGCCTCAGTTAAACACCAATGCAAGATTGGTGTTTTGAGGGTGGCTTATTTTCAGGGATAAAGCTGTTCTTTATAGATGTTGGTTTACATTTAATTGTGTGCTTTTAAAGGACATAATGGAGTGTAAGTCTGGAACAGGTTGCCTGTCTTTATATATAAGATGAAGGCAGTAAGTCTAATGATATATGTATTTATCTTTTTTTCAGGTCTGATTGGCTCAGTTTTTTCCATCCTACAGTTTTTCTCCTCTCCCCTCACTGGTGCTGTTTCGGACTGCTTGGGCAGAAGGCCTGTCATCTTGATGACAGTGGTATGTGTCTCATTCTGATTTCAGTCATGCCATCTCAATACACAGTTAAAGGCACTATGGTTAATGGCACTGTGGTTAGCACATGGGATTGGGAATTTGAACATTCTAGGTCTGTTGGTAGTTGACAGCTTCTCGCCAAGTCCCTTGACCACGCTTCCAGAATTGTACCTAGAAGGCACCGAAATACCAGTCTGTTTCTGGGATTTTCCAAAATCCCATTCCCCTGTGTACGGGAGTATGACTTTGGATGCTCTGTTTACGAATGTTAGACTTAATCCCCGTATATTTTAGTTCCCCAAGTGACTAATGAGGGCTGATCACTTCATGACCCATTTCACAGAGCCTGGGGATTGTTGATTGGGAAGTGTTACATAGCAGTCTAAGATGTATTTCTTATGAATATTAACATTCTCCAAAATGTATTCTCTGTTACTGGTAAGGGGTTCTAATTACAGAAGTAGTGCAGAGCAAGTGTGTACATACATGGAAGAACTTGTCAGCAAATGATATACAAATCCCCCTATCCCATAGGCTTGCGGAGAGTGAATTAAATAAGTGCACATGCTTATGATTGATTATTAAATTTAAGGGCTAGCTCTGTGACGTCTTCTTTTGAAATCAGTATTCTCTTGAAGTTGGAAACAAATGGAGTGGGATGTACACAAGTAGTTTTGTGCCCAGGACTGATTTAGCTCCCTCTGAACTTTCTTTGCCCTTCTAATTTTATTGGTAATCCCACATTTATAGGAAGTTTGTATGGATTTGTTTCTACTTCTTTTTTTATCACTGTCCAGGACTTAGTGCAGTTTCACTGTATTCAGACATTTCTCTTACATGGGTTTTGGAGCAGCTGTTGAAAACAAACAAAAAATTAAATGTGTAGCAGGGAAATATGCAGAAATTATGTCAACTTTGCTCTGCTTTATAAAGAACCCTTTCTTGCTTCTGCAGATGGGTTTGATAACATCATATGCACTATGGGCTGCCTCTAGGACTTTTGGCGTTTTTCTTCTCTCCAGGATCATAGGTGGAATAAGCAAAGGGAATGTCAGCCTCTCCACAGCTATAATTGCTGACTTGCACTCTCCAAAAGCACGGAGCAAGGGCATGGTGAGTTACACATGTGGCATATATGTTTGGGTTTGCTGGCCAACTTTTAATTGATTTCAGGTGCTCAGAATATCTTCCTCAGGTGTGTGTTCATTGAACAAGTGAAATGCAGATGCTCTAGAGGTGGAAAAACTACCTGTGTAAACGTTATAACTGTTACTCCTGCTCATAACTGTAATCCTTATTATCGTATCTGAGAAGTTGAAAGGTCTTATGGCCCAATTTTAGTAGCTGGAAGCCAGTTACAGGACAACCCATTTTTCTTGCCTTCCCAAACTGTGGAAGCATAGCAGCACTGCACAGCACAGCGTACCTCAAGACTTCTTTGGATGCTGCACCAGCTTTGGGATCTGAGCTCAGTGGGTGAGGGATGTGGCGTTTGGTTGACTGAGCAGCAGGTAATATGAACAGTTGCCTTGTCCTCTTTCAGACAGCAGTGGACCAGATGGAAATGCCCTGCAGGCTGGACTTTGCCTGTGAATTACCAGTTGGATCTTTTATCTTATAAAAACCTTGGAAGCCTGAACTTCTTGTAACAGATTGTTAGAAGCCACTGTATGGGACAGCTGCTTCTTGGGAGAGGACAGCTAATGAATTTTCCAAACAATTTATTATAGTCCTGGTGAGCCGAAGTATGTTTTTATTTATGGAGAGGGATAGCCATACAGCACTAGTAAATAAAACAGGTCAGGGCCTGTTTCTAGGGCCTAAGAGCAAGTCACTTGGTACAGCGTGGCTCACATCCATATGGCTATACTCTCTTTCTCAAAGCAGGGTAGGCATGTTCATTTTGCTTTCTGGGAAAAGAATAACATCTGACTGATGCTATTCCCAGATTGTGATGGGGCATTGCCTGGGAGAGCGCTATCTGGGCAGGCTGAAACAGCACTGGAGACTGTGAAGTGACACCCGAGTGTTCCCTGGCCTTGTTTAGTTTAGTACTAGAGTTATAGTTAAATAGACTCAGGAAAGCAGGAGGACCGTGTCCTGGAATGACATGTTTGGGTCCTGTATGTGCAAATATACATCTTTGAATTTCTCTTAAAGAAAATGAGACAGATCCTGCACTGTTGTATGCTTAAGCAATCTCACTGAGGCTGATGACTCAAATTGGTGCTCTTTTAAGCTCCCCATCCAGCATGTACAGATTCTCTCTCTTCTCCTATGTGCTGTTTTCGCAGTGAGTTCATAAATCCTCTTTAGTACTTGCACTAAATTCAGGTTGTTCTGGGAAGCCTCTCAGCCTGTTTGATCCATGAGACACAAATTCCTAAACACAGAACTTGCCAAAGCATTTTAGAAGCTATAGACATCGTTATGAATTCCTACCATGGTGCTGTCCTCCCTTCTCCGGTTTTGCACTACAAAAGTTTATCCTTTGGCTGAAGGATCTGCTGTCTGAGAAGTCCCTGAGGGGAGCATCATTATTTCCCTTCCCAACTTCCTTTCACTCATAACCATGTTGCAGTTTTTTCCTGCCATTTTCCTGACTAGACAGAAAATAAAATCAGTTATTTGCAAATAACAGTTTTTTCACACTCAACGCTCATTGCTGTGCATGCCCTGCATCCTCAGGCTGGTTATGTTCTGTGTCTGGTTGCATTTTTTTAACGTAAATGCCAGGAAATCCTAACTGTTTTAGAGCTGAGATACCTGAACAAACTGGTGTCTAAAACTTCATGTCTGTGTTCATTGTATCACTGCAGGCAATGATTGGCATTGCTTTCTCCCTTGGTTTTACCCTCGGTCCCATGATTGGAGCTTACCTAGCCATGGAGACAGAGAAAGGAGAAGTCTTCTACGTTCGTTCGGCATTGCTGGCACTCATGTTTGCTGTGGCTGATTTAATTTTCATCTTCTTCCTACTTCCAGAGACACTTCCCAAAGAAAAACGGGTAAATGGACTATCAATCTGAAGATCTGAGTTTCTTGCAAAAACAGGATTTGACAACTGTTGAAATACTGGAATCAATGAAGGGGCTGAGCTGGTATCTCAGGAATTTAGCTCATTCCTGGACTAGGATTTAATATTATTATTCAGGCTGGTGTTAAAGTTGTTGCGTGATGGTCCCATCTCCTAGCCCAGTGTAATACAAGAAATTCTTTCTAGCTAACATGTCTGCTTAATTGATAATTTTGGTGTGTTAGGTTTAAATTTATAGAAAACTAGTGGGAGCCTAAGGAGGAAGAGGGTGAATTTTAAACTCTGGTCACAATGACTCCGTGGGGATGAATTTCAGCTAATCATAAAAGTAAATGCATCAGAGACTGGATTTTCTTTCATTTAGCCAGCATGTGTTAGAATTTTTCTTAACTATTATTTTGTCTTTGATTATTTTGAACACTTAAGTAGCAAATGACTCTAATCTCTGAGCTATGCTGTCTTCCCCACATACAGAGTATCTACATGTGCTAAAATTCAGTGACTTTGGATTTATGGGGCCAAACATTTATTAACATTATGATCTAATATTGTGTGGTTGGAAACTGTCCAAGATACATCTGATTAAAAGTCTCCTGGAACAGTCTCCTTTGGTAGTGTAGGAGAGACTGAATTCAGCCTTAGGTATCTGGGTGAAATGCTAGATTTGAGGCCTTCAGCTGGATTGGATCTTTCCTGTCGTCTCTTGTTTCTAAGACCACTCAGCTGTTGAAGTGTGCTTGGTTTCTGGATAGTGAAACTCATTTGACACCGAGAATTGTTCAGGAAACTTTTGTCTGGAATGCTCCTGCCAGGGCAAAACTTTCGACCTTCCCTGAATGTTTCGCAGCAGGTTGTGTCCCATGTGAAACTCGTCGCTCACATTATCTTTCCAAGCACTGCAACTATTTTTTTTTTTAACAGCTCTTCCATGTGTCATCTGTTCCCCTTTCCTATTTGGCTGTTTCTAAACATTCCAGATAAAATCCTGTTCTTGGTTAGAGCTGCACACTCTGGGGTGGTGGCAACATGTTGACATAGGGAAGTGCTGCAGAACAAATACGTATTCTATAAACAATTCCACCTTTGCTGTAGAGGGGTAGATGGCTTCAGGGCCTTTTAGGACTGTATGATGACTGAATATCTCCCCCCTTCTTTTATTGTCCTTTTGAGAGCTCTTCTGATAAGCTAGTCTGTGTTAGCCAACATGACCGAATTTTGATAAGAAAATGAATACTCTGTCCCCGCTTTTTGGGGGTCTGTCTCTGTGTAGCAGGGGGTATTGTGTGAGGTGGGTTAATAGGTGCCTCTCAGGGTCAGGTCCCACTCATGCAAAATACACAGAGTGTTTGGTTGCTGATGAGATAGTGGTTTGTCTGGCACTGGAGCTTCTTGTGATTGGTATCAGTGTGAGTGCTTTTGTGCTGTCTCCTTTCAGCCTGCATCTGGGCCATGGCCCCGTGTGATTTATGTGTTCCAGGGCATTTGTAATTTCACTCATTAGGCTGCTTTGCTCCTTTCTTGGGTAATTCCTCCCATGTTCTGAGTGGGAAGAGAGCAGTTTCCTTGGCCTGTGGATGACAGAGGAAGAGCAGGTATGTTGGCTGCCTTTCTGGAGGTTGGGGTGAGCTAGAGCAGGTGCTTCCAAAGTGTAGGAATGGATGCGTTGGAAGGACAAAGCTGTAAAAGAGGGGAAACAATAATGATAACTGGTAGGAGGATGTGCCAGTGGGATCAAACATCTGTTTCCTTGAAATATGCTGTGTTCTCATCATATTCTTGTTTCTGTATCGGTCCTCTTTTCACAGGAGAGAAGATCGAGTATTTCACTTTCAGTCCTGTTGGAATTAACTTGTAGAAAGGGAAAGGCAGAGAGGGATGGGGGAACAAGGATGAGTTTTTATCCAAGGAGAACAGAATGTTTGCTATTCTTCTTCCCCTTTCTTTCAACTGTCCCACAAGTTTATCAGGTGAAGAGTGACCAGAGAGCTTTACCTTTCACCTGCCAGAGACGCTGATCTTATGTGAGGTGCCCAAAACAGCTTCTGCTGTGACCTGCTTGGGAGAAGGGGGGAACAGGAAGGTGACCAGTGGAATCTGTCCCCTTTAAGAGTTTTTTGAGTTAATTTTTAGCTTAGCTAGTCATGGGCAAGGCTGCCTAGCTGGAGGGAGGGTCTTACAGATGTTTTTTTCTGTTGTCCAGCTGATCATGTAAGGACTCTGTGTAGGGCTATGCAGCATCACTAGTAATCTTCTAGAAAAACAAGGCTTTTGCTCTATGCATACTAAACAGTGTCTGGTTTGAGGGGCGAGGCTGGAGCTTGGAAGGCCCAGGCTGCATTCCTGATTTGGACTGACTCTGCCTTCAAGACACATTACTTAGTCTCTCTGCATTAGAGGAAAACAGAGTAAACAAAGACACTACAAAAAATGTCTGCCATTCAAGGTGAATTTTGGGGTGATCATGAAGCAAAAATGAGCAATTTTGGAGTAATAAATCATAAGCATAGAAATTAAATACAAGTTAGATGTTGCAGATTTTGAACCTGCGAAGAATCTAAATTTCATGCAGCTGGTGACATTGACTGAAATTGGCAGTGTATACTTTGTTATTTGGGGGTGATGAAACACTTTTGTCAGTTTTAGGACCATGTTTTCATTATTGATCAGTGGATGAAGTCACTTCTAGACCACTGCTTCTAGGGCAAAGATAGGAGAAATTAAAAGACATTTACATGCATGCATGCACACACCTATATTAAAAAAAATCTAATAATATATCCTTTTTTCGTAAAACACTTAAGATTTTAAACTTATACGTGTATAATGTATATCCTCAGGACCAAAATAAAATCAGCCTTGGTAGTACAAAATAGCTTAGCACCCTGTCTGACGTGGATAGTAATTCAAAACAGGTACGAACTATAGGCTTTTTCTTGCTGGCAAACATGTTTGAAGGGAGTTACTTGTTACCAGATTCTCTGTGCTGTAGTACAAACACCACCATGCCAACAAATGCAGGAACTCAGGATTGCTACAAGCCAGCTTCAGGAAATCCTCTTACAGACCTTTTAAAAGCATGAGGAAACTTCTTCTTGGGAGTGTCTGTTTACTCTCTGCAATACATCCAGTTGAAGGGGAAATAAATATCCCAGTTTGTTCTGTGGGGATCAGCAGCTTTATGGCTTTGTACAAACCCAGCCTGGTATATTGAACTGGTTGCTGTTGTCAGACTAGTGGGCTCCAGACAGCCGGACACTTAGACACTCTGAATATCAGAACAAGACAGGGGTCATGTTAATATGGTATTGAAGGTTGATTTGTTTACAGCTTTATTAAATCCAGTCCATGTGAGTCCTCTGGTCATGCACCGAGATTAAGTTCCACTGATAATTTGACCTTTAGTGTCTACCCTCAAAGGGGTAATAGCTCCCTCTGTCCCTATCTGGGAAGAGAAGGAAGTTCATCAGATAAAGTCTGTGCAGTGCTTTGAAGATGTGAAATCCTAAGTTTCATTATTCAGGATTCCTGAGTCTGTCTTATCTCTTCCTGTGACTGTCATGTAAAGTGACAGTCTAAATTCTCCTGCTTTAAAAGGAATTGTTTTCTTAAGAATTTAGACATTATTTCTTCTTTAGTATTTTCTTTAATTTTCTATACCTTAGAATAAAAATAAACAAATTAAAAAATAAAATTCCCTGTACATGAAAGAATAAGCATCTCCTAAGCTCATGTTGATAAGGAGCAGAGAGACTGTCACTAGATGCATAATCAGGTTGAGATGTATGGAGTATAAGGACCAGAAGTGCTATAAAATAAATTTTCCTCTTCAAAAAGCCCCACAATGTGGCTGGGCAGAATTTCTCTAGAAATCTCTCTAAAATCTCTCCAAGGGTCTCTCTAAAATTTATATTTTCCTTTTCTTCCCCAGGAGGTGTCACTGGCTGGCTACAAGAACAACCAGTAACAAAACAGAGCGTTGTTTGATGTGCTATGCACGCTGTTCTCAGACCTGTAGCACACAAGTAAATCCCAGCTTCCCATGAGCACACAGGCAGATGTGCCATTATTTTTCCTAGTACATGTTCCTTGGACATGAGGGATGATGCAAAAAGTGAACCAAGTAAAGCCATCTTCAAGGCTGTGGAGAATGAGCCTCTTCTGCTTTTTAAAAACCCAGGGAAGAATCTGTTTTCTGTCTTCAGTGAAAGTTGCTATTGGTGCTCTACCTTCTAGTTACAGCCCTGGAGCCAGTTCTGTGATCAGAAAGTCTGGGGTGTTATTGGGTGTCATTCAAACCCCAGTGCCGATTGCCTTGTTTCATCTCAGATAATTTGTGTAGGTGTAGAAGCAGATTTGACCATTACCGTCAATTTCTTGCAGTGGTTATTACTTCAGGTTTTTAAATAAACCTCTCTTTTTTTTACCAGGTCTCTTCTGTGACATCTGGATTTCAGGCAGCAGTTGACTTGCTCAGTCCTTTGGCTTTATTTCAGTTCTCTGCAGTCACCCGAGGAAAAGAATCTCCGTCAGAGGGGAGTAAGTGTTAGCTGGCTTTTTATGTTGATATTGTATGACTTTTTGCGTGTGGCAGCGGTTTCTAAGTGAAAACTTTACTCAAACCATTTCAGAAGCAGCAGTCTGTTCATTCATTTAGAGATTAGTGTTTTGAAGGTTTCTGACTTGTTACTTGGTTTTTTGTTCAGGCACTGGCTGCAGCATGGGGTAGGCTTCAGTAAGTGAGGTGATTTTAAAAGATAGATCAAGGCATGAGTAAGGGAGATGAGAGTTTCCTTATCCAAGCTGCAAACCAGGAAACTTCAAACTGGAATTTTATTTCTCAGTTCAGGACTTGGAGATGTAGGATTTGAGTTAGCCATTTCTCTATATGAAATTATTTAAGCTATAGAAGATAAATCAGTGTTTGCCAGGTACACCAACTTATCCTTCAGTCCTCCTTGCTGCTGCATCAGGAACAGAGTAATATCTGTGACTTTGGAGAAAACTTGTTAAACCCTGCACTGGCAGAAAAACAAGTAAGGTAATCTGTCACAGACTGTATCTTAGAAAAGGAGATGATGTGCTTTACCCAATACCATCCTGAGGGCGTCATCAAGGTATTAGGTGGAAAACAAGTATTGAGTAAAAATAAAGAAATGCCAGTATAGGTGGGGGTGTCAGTGTGAGGCAGAGGGGCTGGATTGGGTGAGTGAGACCAGGGTGACCCCTAGAGAGATTAGTCTTTTTGGCTCTCCTCCCCTCATAAGAAGGGAGGTAGTGGGCAGAAGTCATTTTGTGGCATGCCTTGCATAGATATTTAAAATGAACGTCGGAGGTGAGAACTTTTCCCTGTACAGCTGATAAATGTTCCTCTACTGTTGTTGTTATATTCTCAAGCTGTGTTTGAAGAACACCACATTTGTCTCTTTTTTTGTTGTTGTTGATGTGTGTTTGTTTGTTTTTTGTTTAGATCTTCAGAATCTCAAAATCCTGGGCCTGACTTATTTCCTGTACCTCTTCCTGTTTTCCGGCTTGGAGTATACACTGAGTTTTCTCACTCACCAGAGATTCCAATTCAGCAGGTACAGCACACTTAGAAGATAAGTGTTGTGTATTTTGCTTAGGATATTTTCCAAAGTCTTAATTTAAGGTCTCTTCCTTTATTTTCAAGAGGGCTTTATGAGGTTAGTGAAAACACTCAGAAAGCAACTACTGTGTTCAGTGATATCTGGGCTTTGAGGGAAGAATTGATGAAGCTACAGGCATGCTGTTTATCATGAAAGGAAACACTCATCGAATCTACAACTTCTAATAGCTAGAGAAAATCAGAACACAAGATTAAAGTAAAGCTCCTGAAATACCTATAGCTGGGCTAGTTGTACTGATTGTAATAAAACCTTTCCTCTTCTTGCCCAGGAGTTCTTCAGTATCAAGACAAATCTCAAAGCTCAAAAAAGGCAAAGGATGGAGGGATAGTTATGCAATTATGGGATTATATTTGCTCATCAGAATTCTGCATTGCATACGGTGTACAGTCATTACATCACAGAGTTTGATTTCCTTTAGTCAAACACTGGAGAAGAAAGAACACAGAATCCACTAATAGCAGCTCAGCTTGAAATACTTTTCCTGCCAGCTCATAGGAAGATTTCCAGCCAGGAACATGATCTTGGGATCTTGCAGCTTGATTCCTTATGTGTGTCCTTCCCTTTGAGTAATTCTCAGGGGTTTGTCTCATCTTTCCCTGTCTGGCTTTCATTACAGTTTGTGGCTTAACTAATGTGTGTGCATCAAGGAAAGGTTTTCTTGTGTATTAAGCTCACTTCTGCACAGTCCTTTCAGGATAGCCATGTAGTGAGATATACAACTGTATGCCAACAGTACAGGCTGCGTGACAACCAAGCTTGTAATGGAGGTAAGAATTTTAGTTGAGAATATCCATGCAGTTTAGTAGATGAGAGGTGAGAGGGAAATTTGAAGAAATATTGAAGGGTGGAGGGAGTGATGTTGCAAGCTTCCCGGTGCAATACATGACCACCACCATGCCAGTGCCCGTGTTGTGCCTTGGTGACCTTAATCAAACTCTGCATGAGTGGTGGAAATGGTTGTGAGAAAGCAAAACGCTTGTTCCTTTGGTAACAAACAACTCCTGTGCATATGGCAGAGACATCCATGGCACAGGGTAATTAATGTGCTGACTCTTTGTGGGCCACCCTGGAAACAACTAAACTACATCATAGCAGTCTCGAGATGATTGCAGCGTTTGCAGCAGCTGTCCCATCTCTGCGTAAGACCTCAGAGGCTTATCTCCTGCTGTCTGCCTGCCATGGAAACTAATGTCAGCATATTGAGAATTTGGCCCTGCTCATGTGAGCACCAAAAAGTGTTTTCTCTCTCTTGTTCAGGAAAGGGTCTGCACTGGACCTGTGAATGCCAGGGTGGAATGCTCTGTGCGTGACTCCATAATCTGTGTTTTTGCCTCCCTTCTAGCATGCAGCAGGGCAAGATGTTTTTCTTTATTGGAATAACAATGGCTGTGATCCAGGGAGGCTATGCTCGCCGAATCAAGCCAGGAAATGAAATCAGAGCTGTAAAAAGGGTAAAAAAATATATATATATTTCTTTTTTTCCCCCCACAAATCTGATACATTAATTTTCAGTCTAAAGTGCAATGCAGGGTAGTTGTAGGCTGTAACTTTACTTGTAAAATCAAAATAAATTTCTGTCTCATCCAGATAAATGACATCTCAGGACTCTGGTTGGTGGGCATTTATCAGTTTAACTAAACTTTGGAACGTTAGAGCCCTTTCTTACCATATCATCTATGATATTATTGAAACTTTGAGTTCTTCATATATAACTGAAAATATATATATATATATGTATATATGAGTGTCTGGCTGTGCAAGTTAGGTAAAATGCTGTGAAGATTATGCTTTGTTTCATTGACAGGCTTTCCCTAGAGTATCTTTCACTGGTGGGCAGGAGGAAATACATTCTTCCTCCAGCCTTTGATTTTTGAGCATCAGTATTACACGTAACAATAGCATGTGCCAATGTTCAGACCGAAGTTTCACTGACGAAAGCGCATTTCTTTGTTTTGCTTGCCTCTTTCTTCATAGAGATGATGATGATGCTGTACTGAGATGACAGGGAGCAGCTCCCTGCAGCTTGTACAGCTGTGGGAAAAGTAGATATGTTTTGTTATTTACATTTGTGCATGGAACTAAACAAAGTAGGTTTTGTGCGTTTCTGAACTTTTGTTGGCTGCTTGGTAGTAGGTATGCTTGGATTGTCAAAGCCTCCATCAATTTATTATGCATTATTTTGAGGCCAACGTGATTTCAACAGTGGCAGGGTAAAAAGATTACCGAACAGCACTGTGTTCCAGTGAATTGACTCTGCTTTTCTTAAAGTTATTTCTGCTGGTGAAACCATCTCCACCCTTCTCCCTGGCAGGCAGAAGTTAACAGCACGCTTGTTTTGTCACATAGGAAGTGCTTCCCTCTGCCTGAAAACTCACACTGCTGTGTCAGTGCCGCTTCATCCTCTGCATCAGCTTCCTCACGTGCTCTGCCAGCCTGCTGTGTTTGCTGTCACTGCCCTGCAGTTTATGCAAACTGTGGTTCGCCCCACTAATTTTTATACTCCTTCCTCTTCCCTGCACTGAGACGTGTAGATACCTTGAAATACTGAGTTTAGTTGGTCTGGGCCGATTGCTACCCATAAACACCCATGTGCGCTGTGCAGAAACCCGCTGGCCCTGGGGCACTCTTTCTGTGGCTGTATGTGGCTTGAGTGGCTTTTGTGGGAGTTCCCCCTTTTGCTGAAATTATTCTGGCAATTTGTTTGTGCGTCTGGATCCTATGGCTAATGTGGCCTCTCTTTGCACGGTGATTACAGCAGCTCATTTATAACTGAATCTTCCAAATGAGACATTGGGTGGAAGTGAATACCCTCTTTTATGAAACGTGCCACAGATCTTAACTGATCTGTCTTTTCTGTGAAAGCTCTGTATGCGAGGGAGAGATCACAGGGGAACTGAAGTCCAGGCTCTTGAAGGAGATGAAGAATGTTTTTCATTTTGGGTTTGAATTTCAAATGCCGTCCCCCACTCCCCCCAATTTTTAATTCTTGGTTCCAGAAGTATGGACTATGAAAGCTGAAGAGGGTTTGATATAGCACTTAAAATCAGTCAGTACTGCAGAGAACAGCCAGAGGAGCTGTAGTCCTGTTTCACACAAGCTTTTTGATCTCTTGTGCCACCTCAGAAGATAAAGAGTTAAAGCTAGATTTCTGTCCGGTTAAAAAAAGAGAAAAAACACCAAAAAAACAGTGTGTGAGAGAGAGAGCTGCAAAAATCAGTTTTTCCTCAGCTGTGGGAAATGGGTGGTGGGATAACTACAGCCTGTGTTACAGGTGACTCCAGCCTGCGGGGGGTCTGCAGCTGTGATAGAGAGAGAACAGAAAAGTAAATTGCACTGATGTGTGGCCATCCAGGTGAATTTGAAATGTCTGCTTGGAAAGAAAGGGCTTTCTGATTCTAACTTGAATGTGGTCCCATCAGTGGAAGAGAACTGGCAGGACACCTAGAATTAGGCTTTAACAAGCAAGACTTCAATGTAACCGTGTGACTCATTCATTTTACAGGCTATTATGTTGCTGATTCCAGCTTTCTTGTTAATTGGATGGGCTGCAAATGTGACCATGCTGAGCGCTGGACTGTTGCTTTACTCTTTCGGTGAGCTATTCAAAACGCACTGGAAGCTGAGCACAAATAATTTTTCTTCATGTATTTATTCACCCATTTAAAAATATGCACTTCTAATTTCAAACTATAAGTAACAGAAAGTTGATGTTTCTGTTTATAAAATATGGAAGGACTAGGTTTAGTTTCTGATGCTGTTTGTATCACAGGAAGTTGCCACAGTGATATTTGGAAGCATCCGCAGTGCTCCTGTTGTCCTGTCTCACTGGGGAGCTCTTGAGGGTCTTTTCTTCCCCTCTCATCAGATGGAGAAGCAAACTATTCACTAAATAGCTTAGCTCAGGAAATGAAGGGAAACAGTATGTCTTTGTATTTCTATGGTGACAGCATTATTTCTTAGGCAACAGGCTGAAGAGACCGGCACGCTCTGAGGGCTGGAGCGTGTGTTCAGGCTGAGCAAGCAGGAGGGTAAATCAGCGTTGCCCCGAACACGGTGGCGCGGGGCTGTGCTGGCTGGACACCGCTCCGCTCTCTTGTGTTGCAAGCTGCTAGCCTAGGGAGGGAGCAAAACTCCTCCTATTGTTTTTGCTAAGTGCAGATGGTTTTCAAAGATGTTTAAGTGTTTACATAAATAATCTTCTGCCAGTTGAAGCTGTTATTCAGGGAAACAATGATGAATTAAGTTGGATTCATCTACTGAAGCACCTATCTGAAAAGAGATTGCAGATATTCCCAGTGCTGCCAACTATTGTTAAGAAGCTTCAGATAGGACTAATTACAAAAGTAGAAACCTTCTCTTTTGCATGATACAGCTTGATTTAAAGGTAAACTGTAAACCACCAAATGCATCTATTTATGCAGCTTGTTTGTCTAGGGACAGCTGTGTGTTTAGCAGGTTTCAAAATTACATCATATCTACAGATTAACTTCCTTTTGAAAGCCCACTCAGCTGGGAGGGGTGAGAGGAGGTTTTCATTTTGTCTAACTGTGCTTCTAAGTTAGGAGCCCTGTCTTCCTAGGCTCCATACCTGGACAGAAGACCCCGTCTCTTCCCTAGTTAAGCCAGCTAGGAGTGCCTCTGGAGGGCCTCTTTTCTGCCTCTCTTCCTCCCTCTGCCCCAGGATTTGGGGCGCCTGCAGTTAAGGCCACATGTCTATCATTTCTGCTCTCCAGTTGTCCTTTCCTTCCCAGAAAAGATCCTGCTTTGTATGCTTAAAGCACTTCCTTCTTGGCAGAAAAGGCCCCTGTTTCAGTAAGAGGGCAGTGATTGCTGAACAGCTATTGGATTTTGTGTCCAGAAATTTTGTAACCTCTTTTTCTTGGACTTGACTGTCTCATTTCCCAAGACAGAACGTAGCTGCCTCTTTCATCCATGAGTACAGTAAAGCCGTACAAGGGGACAAGGTGACTCTGTGTACAGCCACCTCATTGTTCGAAATATGAGCAATTCCCCCTCACTACTCCACCTGACAAGACCACAGCGATTTGGAAAACTACCAGTTAGCTGATCTGACCTATCCCCTCCTTTCCCGTGGGCTCACAGAAGGAGAGACACTAATGTGAAACATCTGCTCAGAGCGCTCACGGCTCTGGGCTCTTCGTGCGGGTTGGCTTTGAGGGGCTGTTTTCATTACTGAACTGGATTAAACCTGATGATGCATTGTTGGTACAGTGCCCCAGAGCTCAGCATATTTCTCTGCAGTAGTAATGATTTCAGGCCACATGTTTTTCACTATTGCTCTTGTAACTGTTTTGAGCTCTCCGCTGTTCATTGACAGTCTCTTTTGTGTATTTTTCCAGCTGCGGCCATTGTTATCCCGTGTTTGTCAGCAGTGGTGTCAGGCTATGGTGAGTCTCTTTCCTGCTTTGAGCAGCAGCCCTTGGCCACAGAACTGACCTTTGTATAGACTCATCTCAAACACAGAACTGATCTCAAGTGTAGTGATGCATCAACAGGAACGCTCGTATCTTAGGTCCACCTCGGATCGGAATGTTGCACCAGTGACTCTGGCTGCTGCTTGGCTTTACAGAAACCCTCTTTCCCCCCAGATGCATTAACAAGGAAAGCAGAAATGCTGTGTTACAGTGAACTGCTGCACCACGTTGTACATATGTAACCTTGAAGCGATAACCACACCTGCAGGAGTGAGGCTAAAGCCTAGAAAAGAGCCCTTCCCAGTCACTTGTCCACTGCCCCTTTTCAGTAGAGCAAGTGATCCATGACTGTAGTTACTGTCCGATTGCACCGGGCATTGCTGCAGGGAGGCAAACCAGCTGTGCTACGCTGGATGTGCTGCAGCCTTCAGCCCCTCCGCTTCTATGAACATCCTTCACAGAAGGGAAGCGAAGTGGGACTGCTGGAGATAGGACAATATCCTGACCCTGGGAAATGCAGAAGCATCCCACAGGGGAGCATAGGAAAACCCAAAACTGACTTGTACCTGTTTCTGAAAGCTGTCAGCACTCCATAATGGAGGGTTTCAGAGCTAACAAACAGCAACAATCTGCTGAGAGTGAACATCAGTATCACACTTCAATTTTGCAGTGTAACGTGGCCTGTTCCAGTGCAATGGGGAAACTTGAAGCAACCTTATTTCTAGTTACGATTAAAAAGATGGGGAACTGTCGGCAAAGAATTAACATTGTGGAGCAAAGGCCACAAACAGCACTGAGCTGGGAATGGGCTGGGTTCTCTGAAAGAGATGCCAGCCATTGCTGTCAGCAGTAAAATAATTTCTTCCCAATTCCTTAGGAACCTTCTAAAACCTTCTGGGTTTGTGGCACCGGTTGCTACGTAACCCTGTAGAGCAGATGTAGCTGTTGCCATCTGTGGATGACACAGTTCTTTCTTTAGCATTGGTTCAGTTTGTTGCCAGCACTACAGCACTTGCTGAGGCAAAAAAGTAAGGCTTTGCTCATTCATGTCACTTTTGTGTTGCTCTTATCTGACTTGCATCCATGCTTCTGTATTTATTTTACACCTGTGCCCCCTGAGCACATCTGTTGTACAACGTAAATCTTCTTTGGTTTTGGGAGGGGTGTGTAGGGGTGCATTACAAGTTGTCTATGGTCAAGCACTCTTGGCAAGCCCTGGTGTTTCTTTCAATGATGCAGTCATGTTTATCTTGGCGGGGGGAAATAACTGCAGTTTGGGCAGTGACTGAGCAGTGAAAGGAGGGGGAGAAGCACAGGGGAAAAACCTCCAAAAGAACAAGGCTCTTGTTCGCTTTCCTTGCCCCACACAACACCTCCACGCTGAGTGACGGCTCTGCTTGCACAGGCTCTGCCAGCCAGAAAGGACGAGTCATGGGGATCCTGCGGAGCCTGGGCGCCCTTGCCAGAGCCCTGGGACCAGTCCTGTCAGCTACCGGTGAGTGCAGCCTTGTGCTCCTGATGGAGTTTGCGGCCTCACTCTGGGCCCTCAGCCTGGGGTGGGGTCTGAAGGAAAAGGGGAGGCGCAGCGTGTTTCAGAGCCGTAAAGTTGTCTCTGCAGAAGTAGGTACCCCCGAGAGCTGCAGGAGGGTGGGACACAGTTGTTGGCAGCACCAGTGCCAGCCTGGTGGATGAGATATTGCCTCAACTCTTTTAAAATTCCAGCAACAGCAGCAGACTAGCCAAGCCTCATGTGCAGCTGTGCAGGCAGAGGGGCACCGCAGAGGGCCTGGCCCCAGCGTGCAGAGGGAGCCAAAGGCTGAGCAGGAACCCTCGCCCTTGCTGGGCTGTTTTTAGCCATTTTAGCAAGTAACCCAGCCTGCTGAGGAGCCACCCTGGCACTGGGGAAGCAGGAGTCAGTGAAATCAAGGTTTTCTGTGCCATGGTGACTGGTTTTCCCATATCCCATGAAGCTGCATCCCAAGAGGATACAAATTAAGTAGGGACAGCCCTTAATGTGCAATAAAGAATGTTTCAGCATTAGCAGTAGCTGTAACCCCTGAATAGTCGACACTCTACTAATGCCCCGGAGCTCAGGGAGGTTAGTGTGCAGCGCCCAGTGGCCCTGGCTATGGCCAAGCCTCGACTGTGTCCAAGGAGCAGAGGTACCCCTGCGCTAGGGTCAGGTCCCCGGGGCCATGACAGAGTCAAGGGACAGAATAAGGGGGAGGAGCTGCACAGCAGGTCAGAGCTTGAACTCAGACCTCATGTTAAGTTTGAGCAAAGCCAGCACCTCTTTCCTAGGCGTTGGATTCCTGAGTATTTCACAGAAGGAGACCGATACCAACAGTGAGAGACCCTCAAGGAAGCACAGACAGCGGAGCAGCCGTGGAGGGGGTGCTGGGGCTAAGAGTTGCCTTGTAGCTAAAGCTGAGTGCATGAATAGGAACATTCCTGGCAAGAATGAAAGTATCCTATTTAAAATAACCACTTTTAACATGCTCCTTCCTTGGAAGAGAACCAGCACTGCTACTAGCCACCTCCTCTTTTAACTTGCTTGCCAGCAAGGATGTACAGTGAAAGATTCAGCAGTTCTGTGTTCTCCAGTTGTTAAGTTGTCGACAGCAGCAGCTTCGAAGGCCAGTTTACATTGATGCCAGGACAAGCATACTAATGAGCTACATCTTGTTTCCTTTGCAGTTTACTGGCTGGCAGGGGCAGAGGTTTGCTTCACTGTCTGTGGAGCTTTGTTCCTCATCCCCTTCATTTTACTTGGTTCTATAAAACAGCAGATAAAGGCGGAATAGGAAGTAACCACAGACCCCTCACCAGCTCCCAAGGACCTCTACAAGACCTGACTCTTGGCACCTGACCACAGATCAAACAGGAAGAGGAGGATTTTGATAATCAAGAAGGGGCTACACAATGACCATTTGCAGCAACAACAGATGTCACGTTTCTTATGGGCCCCACAAGCAGTTATGCTTAAGACAGCATCCCAGCCACCCTGGCTGGTTTTGCAAATAGAAAAAAAACAAACCCCAGAGAACAGTTAAGCATTAGGACAGACAAGCAGTGACTGGCCTGACACCAACACAGCGTGGTGGAATCCCAATTTGCCATCAGGTGCTGCTGAACAGCACGCTGCTGGATACAGAGCTCTCCCTGCTCCTCTCCCTTCATCATCAGCACAAGCCAGACCAAAAGCCACTGCCTGAAGCCTCCACGAAGGGGGCTGTTTGGGCTGGCAGAGAACAACTCCACAAGGCAGCTCTAAGGAGGAGCTTCTCTTCAATTGCAGTGAGATCTCCACAAATGCTCAGCAGACCTGGTAAAAGCTGTATCAGCTGCCTTAAAACGTGATGATCAAAAACAAAAGCGAGAAGCATACTACAGGCTTCCTGAGCTTGACTTAAACTTTGGTACATGTGGACTGGTTTTAATATACAATTGAATTTTGAGAGATGTTTTGTATTTCTAATACTGTGTCATGTTTTTTGATGACCAAGCACTGTTCTTTTTGCATTACAAATAAACTGTTACATCATACACTCGCCTACTCAGGTAATTACAGTTAAGATGTTAATGTCTAAGCCAAAGTGGGGTCCAGAATTCCACCCCAGGTGCCAAAAAAAAGCTTCCTGAAGGGAGCCAACCCCTAATGCCACCACGGGGCTGACTCCAGCAAGGGAGGTGGGGGAAGGACCCCTGGGCCAGGTTCTGCTGCTGCTCAGCTGGGACACTCTGGGAAGTATTGGAGTATTATCTGAGAATACATTAAATCAATCACTAATCATTAAAAGAAAATGGAGCTAATTAAATTCAACAGGCTGCAGCTGTAGAGTAAAACTACAAGTTTTGAAAGCAGAGCAGGAAAAGACTTTTTTTTTTTTTTAAAGAGTTTTATTTGTGAGTAGAACCTAATGATACAAGAAAAAAACAAAAATACAGGACTTTATTCTGCCCCAAAGTGTGTAACCATACCATACTTGACTACATTTTATATTGTAATACAAAGAATTAAAAGAACAAACTACAAAATTAGAAATCAAGAGTCATTGCATATGTGGTCAAGATAAATGGAAGGACTCCATTAAAGAACTGAAACATATAGCAATTAGTCATTTAATTACAACCCTGCAATAAAACACAATTTAGCAAAATAAGTATTGTATGCTTCCTAGTGTACAGAGGACATACAAGGTTAAAGTACAAGCTGAAAGCCATTCGTGCCATGCAGTCCTGACTAAACTTTGCTGTTCAGGAGTCTTTCTCGCACAGTGATTTACTGCTGCTGCTGCTCCACCCTACCTCCACCTGCTCCACCACAGGTGACGTTGCGTTTCTCAATGTATCAATTCCTACCTCAAAACCTCTTTTCTCATCCGAAACCTTACAGCTCTCCATTTCCTTTCAGCTGTTTCCCCATCGCTGCCTGAAACCAGCCCGAGGTATCGGCACCTCCCAGCCTCATCCATCCACAGCTGCGTCCAACTGCTCATCCCACCTCTGCTTTGATGCTTTCTGCTGAACGTAAGGCATTAGTTTTCTGCTAGTTTACCAACTGCAATGTTTAATGTTGTCCTAAAAGGTTACATCCAAGTTCTGTTTTGTTACAGACACTTACTATGAGTGAGTCAGTGCGCTTCCCTCTCCCACACGGGGTGTCGATGTTTTCTGCTGTGAACACCAGAAATGCTCATTCTACAAACCAGGAACGGTTCCCAGCCTTCCCCGCTTCACGCTGGGTAAGTACGCACAGTCTCTGGAGAATTCTTGCAAGCTTTACCTATCTGATCTTAAACTACTTTTACGATTAGTGATAGAAGCATGGCAATAACTGGAAAATAGTGAATTCAGTAGTGATTTCCTTTACCATGCTACATATTAAACAAACATTTATAGCAAACTGTGAAAATACACCTTTAAGGTTACTTGGGATTTCTGTACTTCACTGCTGGCAACAACAAAAACAAAAAATTAAAGAAATGCCAGTTTTTGTAAGTGAAAATAATTAATATAAAAAGTTAAATATTCAGTGTAATGCATTTACATTTTTTTCATGGGAAGGAGCAAACATAAAAGGCCGCAAATAGGGTTTCTATGCAGCAGGTCTGCATGTGCACCCAAGGGATTTTTTAAGAGGGTAAAACCACCCTGTGCTAAGGCCCAAAATACAACTGCCCCTGCTTCACACCACCTGAAAAACTTCTGAAATACTTTTACTACAGTTACTTTTTAACCCTTTATAACAGCCAAATTGACATATGACTGATTCTTAGGGAGGCAAGAAAGACAGACTTCCCTTAAACTGTATTCACTAGGGGAAAAAAAAAAAAAAAAAAAAAATGACTGGGCTCTTTCAGTGCACAACATGAGTGGAACACACCACAGTTATTTCAGTCCTAGACATCAAAGATGATTTCAAGTGCCAGTTATAAAATAAAACAAAGTGAAAGACACCTTCATTTTGTTACAATAGTCAGAGGGAAGAAAGAGGAAGGAATGGATAGACTCAAAGCTTGACTAAAACATGATCTGTAATCACAAGCTTGCAGAAGTTTACATGTCAGTTCAAGAACATATCCCCTTGAAAACACCACTGCAAAAGCATCCTCTCTGAAAGTCAATATTGAAGAAGAAATTTACTTGTGACTTGGAACAGAATATTGTCAAAGAACCCTCGTATTTTCAATTGTGACTTTTTTTTATTCTTTCATAAAGCAGTGGAGGCTTTAAATTAAAAATAGTGATTCAGTGCCTTCCACGTGGAAGTAACTTACATTTGATTACAAATTAGGGATCAGATCTGTGGTAGCTGCTGAAAACACAGGATTAGCACCTTTTTGGACATTAGTTTCTGGTTATAACCTTAACAATCAAGCCATAACTTGAGGGGCTGGTTGGATTACTTGCTGCATTCATTTACATAATAAGACAAAACACTCAGTACAATCTGGTACATTCTAGTGGTTAATGAATTTTAACATATGACAGTGTTTCTGCAGTGTGTTTGGCCTTTAGGAGTCACTCTTCTTTTTGCTCTTCTTCAGGAAGGAAGGAGTGCGAAACTTCTTTTTCTTTTTCGATGGGGACTTCCCTGGAGATTCATCACTACCTGCATCCGCTGCTGTCCCCTCCTCAGCTGTTGGTGTTACTGGCTCTTCAGCGGGTTGAGACTGGGATTCCTTATTTTCCACTGCAGGTGATTCCGTTTGGCTTTTGGGCACATCTTCATCACATCTCCCTTCCTCCTTTCCTAAGGGAGGGAAGCTGAGTGCTTCTGAAGGCTCATCAGGGGTGAGATCTGGGAGGGTTTGCTTGAAAGTTGCAGCATCACTGTCATCTTTGTAAGTCTGGTCCTGCTGTGTCTCTAGTGGACGGACAGACAACGACACAGTTAGTTCACGTAAGTGTCCCTAGAACAGGGAAAGCAGAGCAAGTTGATGGTGAGTGCTCTCTATAAAAAAACTAATATATTTACTTTGCATAAAAGCCTTTGTAATAGGTCTGTTCTCCTTTAGCTTTGTGCAGAGATAGAAATAAGATATTCAAAAGTTTTGTTTGTTTTTAAGCTTCCTACCACAGAACAGATAAAGCTGAATTCCATCACGTGGGTGTAAACCAGCAAGAAAGTAACTGTTTAGACTTCTCTCATGTTTTATTTATGACATTTGCAAGCAACATAAGCTTTTAGTACAGTAAGCAGGAATTAAACCTAGAGTTTTCATTGGCATTGAAGAAATTCCAAATCTTGATTCTTTTTTCTTTTGGTGGGATAAAACCAATTGCTGGTTTGCAGTGATCCAATACAGGCAAATCTGTTAATTTCTAAACTGTTGGCTGGCCAGTTTTTAATCACAATGGTTGGGTTTTCATTGTATTCTTCCATGAGATCTAACAGATGTTGCTTTAGAATATGATTTTCTATCACAAAGGCTTCACTTCTTTTGCAAGATATGAGTATATATTATGGATTCCTATAAGTAAAATTCATGTAGTTCATCAAATTAAATGAGCTCAGCAGGTTATGCGATACAGCTTTCTTTTTAAAAACTATGTGATGTCTAACAGCAAAACTCACCCCTGTATAAAGGAACATCAAAAATCCAGCGATAACTTTATGTCCAAAGGTGAACTTTACCACTACTCCCTCATTGGAACGCTTTCCTCACTCACCACTCTGCTTTAGAGATGTTCTGTTTAAAGCTCCTCTTTGTGCATATGTTTAACAAGAAGCACTTTTTGAAGTTCCCTGCAATGTTCATCAGGGCACTGTAGCCGAGAAGTATCTCGTTAGCTGTGTCAAATACATCCCCGTTGATGTTACGTAAGGAGGAACTGATAACAAAATCCAGGCCGTACCCATGGCAAGGCACAAAAGAAAGGCAACTATTTTTCCCCCCTTTTAAAATCTTGTTCATTTTAATTTGAAAAGACTGAAGGCTTTCACAAGAATTTATAGAAAATAGGTGATACTTTCCCATTTTTCCTATGGAAATGACAGTGAGTGGTATGGGTTTTCCCTGCCAGATGGGATTGATAATCCCCTAATATATTTTAGAGGGCTCTGTTCTGTGAATACCTGCTAGAAAACCCGATGTGTTTTGCCTAGAGCACCATGAACTTCTAATAGGTTATATAAACAAAACACACTAGTATTCAGTGCCAAACACTCAGAATGCACAAGTTAGCAGTTTAAGAGTTATAATGCAGGCAGGATTTAAAACAGAGTAAAAAAGAGAAAGCAACTATGTACATCAGAAGCTGCCTCTTGAAGCTCTAGTTTAACCTGTGTATGTATGTGACACACAAATTTAGAAGCAGCACTACCTACAAATCTTCGCCACCACTACGCTCTTTTTGGATTTCATTTTACTTTTCAGGAATTAACTGAAAGCACTGCTGATCTCTTCTCCCTGGGATCCAGTGGCAGGACATGTGGGAATGGTTCAAAGCTGCACCAGAGGAGGTTCAGACTGGACATTAGGAAGCATTTCTTTACCGAGAGGGTGGTCAAACACAGGTACAGGCTTCCTAGAGAGGTGGTCAATGCCCCAAGCCTGCCAGTGTTTAAGAGGCATTTGGACATTGCCCTTAACAACATGCTTTAACTTTTGGTGAGCCCTGGAGCAGCCCGGCAGTTGGACTAGATGACTGTTGTAGGTCTTTTCCAACTGACATAGTCTATTCTATTCATTAGATGGCCCCATTTTTAGAACAGGCACCATACTAGATTGCCACTTTTATTTTATCTTTTAAAAATAAGTTTAAAATAAAATTCTAAACAAAGTTTTTGAAAAGGGATTATAAATTCTCAAGATTAAAGAATAGGAAGCTACAGGCATTCAAACAGCATTTGCCAGTTTCCCAAAGCCTTGGATAAATATGAACAGTTTTATAACTCATTAATCCAGGACTATCCTTCCCAGCTTCTCAAATTACCATCATCTTTACTAAACGGATTAACATTATGCTGGAATCAAACAAACATCTGTTTATCTAGCTCACTAAGGGGAATATTTTACCAGAATTAGGGAGATTTACAAATTCCACATTCGATAAAGAACACATACAATATGTAAATGCCCTGCTATTCTACTCAGTGCATTTCAGGAATACAACTAGGAAGGTGTAAAAATATATCTTGCTGCAAAACTCAGCAGTACCTCAAAATGTCTTAATTTTTTTAGAATCATCATGTCTACATCCATGCTCTCCCTTTACATATACTGTGGCATGAGAGTTTGAAAAGTTACATTAATACTGGTGTGTGTTTACAATTCACATTATTTATTAAAGGTTTATGGTTTTTTTCAACAAACATGGACATACAAACTAGGTTATAACTGAGTTAACACAAAACACTTCTCTGATTTCAGCTACACTTAAATAGAAACAGTATGAGGAAAAAAAAAGTTGAGAAGTGACTGCAAACAGAGAACATTGTCATTCAACAGAACTTCTGCCAACCAAAGTCATAATGATGTGAACTTCCAGTTACTTTCTGAAACAAGCTTTGTATGTTTGTCCTGGAAAATTTATACAACTAGAAGAGTTTGTGGAACAAAATTCTCATTTTAAAAGAATTTTCAGGTTTTAAAACGTTATTAGTAACATCACAGTTGTCTACGATGCAGTTTGACTTTCCTATCTGTGACAAACACACTGACTTTCGGATATAACAGGACGTACAAATGGAGGGGGCCAAACATCCTCATTACTTTAAAGTATAATCTGCTGTAGCCCTGCAGATGTAGCTGAAACAGCTGTAGAAGTTGCTGCCACCAACCACTCGCTGTTATTCCTTCATTGGAACATAAATTTCCCTGCAGCTGACATATACAACATAGGAGTAGTTCCATATCCACTTCCGTGCAGAAGTCTGCTGCATAAGTTTAAACCAATGTCAGCGGTAACACTTTTGCACTGGAATAGATTAGGAACTTTCTTCCCTTGCATTACCGGGTCCAAGTTGTGTAGGCAGCAGCAACCTGTTGGGGCAGAAACTCCCAGACCTGTTTCAGCTATATCTGAAAGACCACTTCAGATTATTCCTTTTTCAACTGAGGAATCAGACACATAGATATGGAAACACATGATGTCGCTTTCACAGTCACTTTCAAAGGGGGAGTGCACTTTAACATAAGATCTGTAACTACCTAGAATTTCATGAAATCAGGAACTAAAGAAATCAGTGTCTCAACTGAAAAAGCCTGCTTTAAAAAAAAAAAAAAGCAAAACCAACAAAAAACCTTAGTAAACAAAGAAGCAAGAGTGAAGCATAGCACATAAGCAGGTCAGAGTATGGAATGATACTTACTATGGTAACAGGTACTCTTTAGCATATCCATCTCCTGTGTGTAACGCAGCCACAAGAAGAAAAAAGCACAAGTAGAGAATCTATGCATTCATCACAGCCATTGTGTTAAGTTAGAAGAATGGTTGCAACCATTCTTATAGAAAACAGAATGAGATGAAGTAGTGAATGGAAGACTAACAGACAAGTGATATATCCAATGTACAAGGTAAAGGAAACAAGACAAAAATTAGATTACACCTGTTCAAGATTGCTATTTTATCCTTTTTTTGAGGATACTGTAGACTTTATCAGCCCTGCTCTTGTTTTAGTTAAAACTACTACATAAGGTAAGAGAAAAATAACATTTCAATTCAAATTGAGTTGGAAAAAATATTTACTGAGGTGTAATCCAAGCACAATAATGTTTAAGAAATGTGCAATCAGTGAAGGACATTTACCAAAGCATCTAAATTTGTGTCTGGTTTACCATCAGACACTATTCCATTTAATAAGAGCAATTATTTCTCACAGAAAATGTACAAAAGGACGAAGAGATGACAAGGCAATTCCAAAGAGATGAAAATTTGTCTTTATATTAATGCACACTTCTTTATTATTGTAAACATAACTCCTGTCATACTCAACACTCAACTTCAGTGTTGTATACTTTAGGTAGTATAAAAATAAAACAGAAGAAATAATTTACCTTTTTTAGATACTAGTTCATATATTTTCATGCGTCAGTCACCAATGATACAGTTACTGGTTTCCCCTGGCCCCGAATCAGAAGAACATACCTTCCTCTATTTTAATCGGCGTACTGGGCGGAGTGCGAGCTGAAGTGTGATCAGGGAGACTTCTCTCCTTCTGTTGTCTGCCATCTTCTGAAGGTTCTGCAGATGTAGACAAAGAGAAATTAAAAAGGCAGCCAAAACCTTTCAGCATGTGAGAAAACACAAGTGTCCTTTTGCTCCATACACACAAAATACAAACACATTTTTATGAATCAAAATTCTGCCAGGATATGAAATCATACCAAAACAAGCAAAAGAAAATTCAGTGATAGTTTGATATTAACAAAACTGTGGAACTCATAGTTGAGCTCTATGGTGGTTTTTGTTTTGTTTTGTTTTGTTTTTCATAAGAGGGCATGAATAATGTAATTGTTTATGAATTGGTTTACCACACTGGTCTGAAGAAAACTTGTGAGGAAAAACCACAAGGAAGATATAAACAAATGGCAGCGGGGGATTGTTATCAGATCTAGACAAGATAACGCTCTTTTGCTTGCTTTATATTGCTGAAACTCAGAGTAAACAAAATTACATCCCAAAAGAAAAGAAGATTGCACAGATAATCAGAGAAACATGCAGTAATTAAATGATTCAAAACAGATTTCACGGTGGTTTGTGTATTTGTTATTAGTAAGGAGGGTCCCCCTTGCTTCCAGGTTTAAACAGCCCTAGATCCAAAGGAAAATATTAATAGAGTACATCGGGTATCAGGAACAACATTAAAACATTGTTCCATACAGTTCACCTCGACAATTAAAAGTTAAATCAGTCCCACAGATGAGAGTCAAATGACAGAATATCCAAACGGTGTAGGTAAAGAGGCTGTTCCTTAGATTGCAAACCCAACTGTACCACATTAGCAATACCTGAGGCCTCAGCCAAAAGGTCAGGATTGGACCTTAATGCTTTGATCACTGCAGTATGAAATTCCTTATGGGAGGACTTCTGCCCATCTGGCTCTTCTCGGTTAAGATGTGTGATGACCTGCTGCGTGGTCTGACAAGAAACCCATGCAGCAGCAAACTGAGTGTTATCTAAAGATTTAGATAGTGATGATGTGTCACAATCCTGTAAAGTCTTCGTATCTGTTCCTTCAAAGGTTTTTGATCTGCCTTTCAAATCCAGAGATTTTTTATCTGACGTATTTTGTTCACTGATGGTCTGATTTCTAAGCAATGTACTCTGTTCCCCAGCTGGTGTCTGTCTCAGTAACACAGGCTCTCCATATTTTGGTACCTTATCTAAGAAGGATGTAGCAATGTTACTGAGAGAACAAAGGTATGCAGTTATACAGGCATAACAGCAGAGTATCCCTCCCCACACAGCCCAATACTGAACCAAACACATACAACGGCTCCTACATTGTCTTATCAAAAACAGGGAGCACACACTGCAAAAGAAATGGCACTTCTGGTTCCTGCATCGGTCAAATTCAAAACCTACAAGAGAGGAGTGCAAGTATCATCCCCTAAACCCGTACAGCATTAAAGCTGGGTAACTACAGATGCAGCAGTGATCTCTTTTTACCGCACAGTTCTCTCATCATTCTATGATAATTTAGAAAGTCTGTTTTGGCGGAAGTCCCAAAATGTGCCATTTCCAAGTAGCAATGAAATGTTGTTCTGTATCTTCCCCATTCACCGGATTTCTCAAATCCACAATTTTAAGTGAGTTAGAAAACTGCACTGCTGCTGCTAAAAAGCAACACCGTTCTCTCACCGTAGCCTGTCTCTGGTGCTAAGCGTAACAAAGCAGAACAACCTGCAATCCTTTGCAGTACCAAAAACTTTTTGGCTGAAGTTTCAAGCTTTCAGCTTCCTCGTAGCAGCAGTAACTGGCCACGCTAGACACTCCAGGTTGTCTACTAGGATAATTTTTAAAATAAGATCTATGCATTTTACAGAATACTCCATTAACACTGAGATTGCACATTCTATCTCCAACATGCTTTTTAAACTTCTAATTCACGCTGGAAGAACTGAAACACACAAAAGCTGAATACTTTATCCATGGCCTTTACAGGTAACCCACCTTCCACTCAGTAATAAACTTGCTGTTCTTATAGTCTATTGCAGAAAAAACACACACAGAGAAACCAACCTTCTGGTCCCTTCTGCTTTCTTTCTACTTCTTTGCGATATTCTTCCAGTTCTCGATCAGTAAGTTTATTGAAGGGATTTGGTCCTGTTGTGCTCACTATGACTTTTGGTTGATATTCTTTCTCAATTATTGCCTTTGACGCAGTCACCAGTTCTCCCTGACAAAAGAAAAGTAAGATACATCTGCAATCGAGCACCAACTTGCAGAACTCTGAGAAGTACAGAGGCTACAAAGCAACCAACCAACCAAAAAAAAAAGATAATATAAAAAATACTACATTTGTTTTCTTTTAGATTAAAAACAAATCTATTACAGGATATAAAAAAATTAATCTACAGCAGGTTAACATAAAGGAGAAAAGAGGTCTCATTAATTACTCTTACAGACACATCAGTGTTTCCACCAGGGAATATCCACCCTTAAGCTGTAAATCAAACAGCAGCCAACGGTCTAGCTGAGTTATATCTGAAGTTATAGAAGTTTCTTTTTCTCCCCACAAAAGAAACAGGATACCAGGCCCAACTGCACTGCAATCTGGGCACAGAATACCGATAAAAGTTAACAGGACTCAGCTCACAGGTTATTTTTATTTGTGGTTTGTTTTGTGTTTTTCTTTTTTTGTTTGGGTTGATTGTTTTTAAGGGAAAAGCCATTTCTAGCTACTATATAACATCTAACAGATGTTATAGCAAAAAGCCATCTTGCATGGGTTCTGTATACACCAGATTAACAGATTATTACATGCCATTTTTAAGTAATTACGGTTAACTGTAATCTTAAACAAGTTAGCATGTTTTCATCTGTAACATTTGTCGTATAAGCCTGATAAAAAGTTACACAAATAAAACTTTAACAATTCTAAGTACACTAAGTTCCAATGGACAAAAGCAGCTGCACCAGAGGTTCTCTAATGGAAAGGTTTTTAGTTTTTCTTCTTTAATCATACAGTAAAGACCAAAGCCATTGGCTTTTCATTGTCTCGGATACAGAAGATGCTTGCCTGGATAGCTGCTGTATCTTTCAGGTGGCTTGTTTAAGCATTTGTTTTTTTCATTGGATACACAAAACTCTAGTGACACTAGTTTGGAAATGACTGATGCGCGCTCTGTGCCTTATGTCACTGTGATATCCAAATTGTCTTCATTGTTGGAGAGAGGCATTTGAACTCCATAACCAACTAAGGATGGGTTATTCACTGTCCCAAGTCATCTTAATATTCAAATGTTATTTGTGCCAATATTTAAAAGAAAGCATTAGAAAGCATAGTTCAAAACTAGGTATCACCTGAACAAAGAGACCGACATTCCATTCCAGGTCCATACTTGATGGACATGCAAGAGATCTTCACTGTAAAAGCGAAGATGAAATTAGACAGAGCACTGTTTTGGATGCTAAGAGCTGCTTTCAATAAGTTGTTAGCACCAAAAAGGTGACTGACAAGGATGTCCAGATGGAAGGAGGACAAGAGCAGTTAAAAATTTCTGAAAGCCGCAAGAGAAATCTCCAGGAATCTGGTCTAGATCAATCTGGGGAGGTAAGAACAGCTGGCTGTTAGACTCTATGCTGCTCTTCAGGAAGCAAACACCAGCCAGAAGTACTGAAGAACAGCGTAACAACAAGTCCCGACTGCAAGATCCTGAAAGGAACTGCAGGAGAGAAACAACTCTAAAATATTATAGTACACCTTCATTTCCCCATAAAATAAGAGGAACTCTTCATCTCAGATGCAGAATGTCAGTAGAACATCTAAAGCCTTTTCTCATCTATTTCATTAAGCACCAGCTGTCTTAATACCAGAAAACCTCTGATTTGATAGTCACAGCTTTTCTTATCTTACAGGACAATGCATTTAAAAAGTCACAAAAACATCAAGCTTTGTACGGATCCTAATTGTTTTGTAGAAAATGTAAAACACCCCCAAAACGACAGGCCACAGTTTTTAATGATGGCAGAAAATTGGCACCCATGGCAATTTTATATTTCCCGATCTCTGCCAACCCTTCAAACTAAATACGTAGTTTTAACTAAAACTCAGCAATAAGTAGCAGGGGCTTGTAAAGCACTAATCTCAGGCAGAGTTTCTAGAGTTTTCCAGGATTACAAAAGTCAACAAAGGAACAAGACAGTGCCCACTGGTATCCCTGGAATGTTTAAGAATCTTTGAATCTTTTCTGCAAGTTAAATCCAAAAGGACTGGCTAGAACAGCTTTCACATGAAATGAAATTGTACTGAATGCCTATTGATTTAGTCAGGACAAACAGCAACACATGCATTTTGCAAGCAAGATGACTCGTGCACTGGCATTATATGTTCTCTTCCTTAAGAGAATACCTTTGTAAACTACAGGGAATAAAAGCAGAGCATCAAGCTTATCACATTTTACTAAATTAAAAAAACCAACAAACCAAATCCAAACACAAAAACCACAGCCCCAATCAATGCAAACAGTATTTGTACTCGCTGAGTATCTTTCACCCAAGAGATATAATACAGAAAAAGATCAGAGGCAACAGCAGTAAGTGGATTATGTGTTACAAAGAAAAATCATAGGTTTTGGACTATAAAAGCAGAAAAATTACATGAGAGACCAGAAAGGCAAACTTTTGATCTGCTAAAAGCTGTTTGCAGATTAACACATCCAGTTTTGCTCAGTATCAATAACATGGAAGCAGTTCAAAAGACACTAATGAAAATTATAAGGGTAGAAGGACTGATTCTATGGGGAAAATAAATTATAGTAGAATGTTAGTAAGTTCTGCAATGTAACTACTCTAAAATATGGACAAATTGAAAAGTAGAGACGCATTACTTCACAGAATAGGCCACAGAGCAGCCTTCCAAGAATTCAAATAAAAATATACAACACAAAATGGAGAGAGTAACACGGGACAGACGGAAAATGAATATAAAGGACTAAAAAGACAGTACAGGACATACTTCAGATTGTTAAATGTGACACTAAAATAGAGCAGACTTTGCAGAGCTATCAATCTGACCATGCCATTCAGAGAGTCCTATGAATGTTCAGAAAAACCAAACAAGAAAATTGGTCTGCAGTTGCTTCCAGTGTTAGAGAGCCTGCTCTACAGTGAATACGTTCCCATATATAAGACTGTTTCAACTCAGGATGACATGCAAAAAACTCATGTTCTAGTGATTTCATCTGGATGATGCTGATACTAGTATTATTTCGATGATGATTCTAGTACTGATTTGATGACTATTTGAAGTTTGATTGCATGTGTAAGCACCTGAATATCATCAGCATTTTCTCCACTGTAAGAAATAATGGATAGATGACATTCATGGACAGAATATATTTTCACTGCTGAGAATTTTGTAGGGGCATACTCTCCTACAAAGATCCAACAACGGGCAAGTAATTTATAGCTAAAGATACACAATACACCTTCATACTAATCTTGGATCTCACATATCCTACAGGGAAATTTTAGATCACCAAGTCATTTTGCAACTTCTTCACCAAATCCTGCTTTCAGAGAAAAATTCAAGATTGCTATGAGGTGACCATCATCTAACAGGCAAGCACTTCATCTCATTCCCAGGGATAGATAACGAGCAAAACTGGCACCTCATACATGGCAATTCAATCACACAGTAGGTTCATAACAATTGTCTAAAGTTAGCAATTGCTCTTAACACAATCTGGCATTAATGCAGTGCCTTTATCCAAAACCCCAACATTCTTAAGGTGCTGTTCATGTAGAAGCTGCCATTAAAACACAGCCACCTCTGGGGCAGAACTGAGAGGCTCTTCATGAAAAACAAAGCCACAGAATTTCCATTCCAAAGGAACAGACATGACATGGGTGGTTCCCCTTTTACTTAAAATTCTTGCAAATTCGTGTGAAAGAATTTTTTTTTAATCAGATTGCAGAATGGTCAGTGGTAAGGATAACCAACAGTCCCTCTCATTCAGCCAAGACTGCAGGAGAAGCTTGGTTAACCAAGTCTACAACATGAATAAAATTACATGATGCACAAGGAGCTGGTGTTGCAGCATGGCCTGGGTTTCTCAGAACATGGACAAAGCAAGTGACAAGGCAAAATGGGGTATTTACTACTGCAGCCGTAGGCACAGAAGACTCAAAGCATTACATGCATACTGTACACAAACAGGATTTTTTCATCCCAAATAGTGTGCACTGAGATATAAATCTGAAAACATAACACATTTTAAGTGTTACTGCAATCAACTGTAACTTTTTACTTCAACTATAACTGAGTGTTAAAGAATTTGTCAACTGAGAACTTGTAATTATCTGGTACCTAAAAGTCCTTAAGCCCTTGATGTACAGGTCTTGAAAGTTTCATGTGAGGTTTATGCAGGCATCATAAGATTGCTTACACTTCCTTTGTTCCACAGTACATGACTGTTTCTTGGCATAATCTTTCTAGAAAATTTCTCTGGTGGGTTATTTTGTTGTTGTTGTTTGGTTCATTGGGAGGTTTTTTTTGGTTTTTTTGGTTTGTTTTGGGTTTTTGCCCCCAAAAGGAAATTGTTAAGCATTCAGGTCACAATCCATATAAGATAATAAATATTATGAAATAGGCCACTCCTACTGTAATTAACATTGTGATCTAACTTTACGCAGTATTTCA